AGCCACCATTTTTTTTGCAGTTTTCCTCAACCGATAACTGGACGATAACCATTAATCACAGACAAACATATAACAGAAAATGTATTACAACTGGTGAAAATTTTTGGATTTCAAGAAAACAATAAATTTTTCTTTATTAAATATACCAAATTATAATTGGAAAAAAAAAACATTTTTTTTTTTATGTTTTATTAAATCGACACCTTCTTTTTTTTTGTCTCTCTGCCATAAATATTGGATTCAAATTTTTTTTTTTGGAAAAAATGTCAATTTTTTTTTATTGCAAAAGTGTTCAAAAAAAAATTTTTTTTCTCTTTAATCTGTAATTTTATAAAAGAATTAATCTGTGATTAGTTAATTCAGATTTGTTGAGATAGTTAAACCATAACAATGCCATAAAAGAATGTATCAACAATTGTTTTTGGTTTGACCCGACCTATTAGGCTTTGTCTCTTCTCATCATTTCTCTTTTCTTATCTGTCACCCTAAAAACAAAAACAAAAACAAAAACAATTAACCAATTCTTCTGTTCCTTAGTATAACAAATTGTTTTCTGTTTCCTTTTATCGCTATGTATATATATTTTTCAATTTTGCAAAGATTATTACCGATAAAAATAATTCATTTAGGCTGAACACTTTTCTCTTGTGATAGCCAATTTTCACCAACTATAACCTCATTCTTTTTTTTGCTATTATTTAATAGCTTCTTTCTTTACTGCATTTTTTTCCATTATTTAAGCAGTCTTTTAGCACAATAAGTTTTCATATAAGACAAGAACAATTGAAGGTAACAAGAGAAAAAAAAAATGTAATTTTTTTTTAGAAACTAGACTTGCTTTTTGATTTATAACTTTTTTGAACCTTACCTTTATCCGCAACTTTTCACCTTTGCTTCTTCGTTAGCTTTTCACCCTTGTTCTAGTTTATAGATTCTCATTCTTGCTGCTTTACTATGTAGAACAGAAAACAAAATAATCTGTTTATCAAAGTGCTCTTGCCTTAAAATAAGAAAGAAAAAATTGTTGTCTTTTTTTTGATGATAAAGGAAGATGTGTTGTTGGTAGAAAAAAAAAAAATTTAACACCAAAGCAGTAAAGGTTCGAAGATTGATAGATTGGTAAAAAAAAAAATCAGTACATATTTAAACAACCAACAAAAAGCTTTTCCTTCAACTGCTTTGTTCATTATTCCAACAACTGTTGTTATCGTTTGATCTATAGATAAATAAGACTTAGTGCAGTTATCAGCAATGTTACTGATATAACACTAAGATGGAAATAGTTGAAAAAAAAATAGAAGAAGACATCCTTCTTTTATCTCTTTTTTTTTTCACTTCTTTTTTTGTTATTAGATTCAGTTTTTCTTTTTTTTTTTGCTTATAAACAGTCATTCCAATCTTACATATATTCGCTTGGTTACCTTCCTTCCTTTTTTTTTTTTACTTACTCTCTTCTGAGATGCAATCTTTTAGACCAATTTATTGCTAATTTACTTAATCTAACGTATTTCTGTTGACCATTCATCGACATTGCCTAACAACGTCATTATAGTATCATCTTTTTACATCATCATTACCATCGCCATCGTCATTGTCATCATAATTATCATCATAAAACATCATAATTGTTGCAATGACCAAAAATAGCAACAAAAACTTTTATGTTACACTAAACTAAACTAAAAAAAAAAAAGTTAAAAATCGTTCTAAACAGCTGCATCGAGAGATTTAGCCAGTGATATATCAATTAGGGTGCAGATAAGTGATTGCTAATGACATTGAATTGTCAATTATGATGATAATGATTATGTCGATGATAATAATTACTTAGTCTTATTTTAGTCTGAATAACTAGTAAGACACTTTATCTTTCTGGTAGACTATATGTGTCACCGGTAACTGTAAGTCTTTTTCAGACCAATTAGAAAAAAAGTAGAAAAAAAGTAAAAGGAATAATATAAATGAAATTTCTTAAAATAATCATCGAAATTTATTCAAGAAGAAATTGAAATAAGAGAAAAAACCTCTCTAATAAATTTTTTTGCAAACAAATAAAGCAGCATTACATTTTCAATTAAAATTTTACGCAAAAATACGAGATAGAATTTGTTGTTTTTCAAAAGTTTTCTTGTCTGTTAAATAATCATATTATTGGTAGATTATTAACATTGGATGTGACAATTCATATATATATACTAATACATCTATCATTAATTAAAGACATCTTTAAGCTAAAAGCCATCAAACATCAATATAGAAACCAAAAAAATGCTTAATGTTTTTCTGTTTTCTTTCAAATGTTCAAAATATTCAAGAAACAGAATTTGTCTGTAGACCAAAAAGTTGATTTTATGCCTACACTAATGATTGACCTATTAAAAGACTTGTTAGGTGTTTACCCGTTTTCAAAAGAACAGATAATTTGGTGACTTAGGTGCAGAATAATATATCTGATTTCTAGGTATGTAAATATTTTTGTATTTGAAGTGTATTTTCCAGTTTTTTGCCGATTGTCAATTGAAAGTAAGAAAAAAAAACCGTCGTGATGATGTAGAAGAAAATAACTCTGGTCGATAGACCTTTTCAGATGACATCTGTTGATAACGGCAGTTTAGTCAGTAGTTAACCAAAAGATATATTGATGGTAGTTGTAAGAACCGTTTCAAATTCTGACAAACTTTAGACATAGAGCTTTCATCAGTATATCATTTGATTATTTAACAGGTTAATTCGATAGTGTTGGTACCTTTTTTTTTATAAGATTAAACTAAAATAGTTTTGAAGTTGAAAGAAAAAATTGAATGCATTTTAATGTAGTTCAAAGATGTTGCGTAATTTGTTCGCAATTAAATTTTTTCCGTTTTTTTTTTTCGACTTTTTGTTCGCTCAAATTGAACGTCGGAACAGATTCATGGAGAACTGTTGGGTATAATGTTGATTCAATGTGGTGATTTTTGCCGATTTTTGATCACTTCAATCAGAACTGTAATTTTTTGAATGTTATTAGCAATTATGAAAAAAATTGTTGTTGTGTTTTTTGTTTTGTAACTTTATAATACTTTTTTTGTTTGTAAACATATTACATATTTATTGATGTTAGACTTTTCTTTCTTTTTAATAGAAAAAAAAAACTCTTTTTATTTATAGTAATAATATATAAATATAAAAATTGCTAGAAACAAAGCTGAATTAAAACAAAATAAACTGATCTTATAAACATAGGCAAATTCCTTTTTTCAATAAATTTTTGTCTAACAATTACAGAAACTAATTAAATGAGAATAAAGTTTAAAACAAAACAAATAAGTAGGTTGTTTTTTTGATGCTCAGTTTCTTTTAAAATCTGTTCAGATTTCAGCGATGAAACAATTTGGCTGGTGACACTGTGTGTTGATACTGCTGCTGCTGCCGCTGCTGCTGCTTGGCTCTGCTTCTGAAGCTTCTGATTGCTGCTATCAATGGATACTGCCATGGTTTCCATAAACTGCTCCTATAGTCGTCGGTTGATGGTCCTCATTGTTTTTGATTTTAT